GGATGTGGGCGACGACGACCCTCCAAGACGCATCCCTCGCCGGGTTGGGTCATCAGAGGACAGAATCATTGAAGATCTTGGTTGTGCCCCGAGGTACCGAGTGACTCTGAAGAAGCAGGCCGCCATGAAGGGTATTTTTCTGTTCATGAGCTTCCTCACATTTTGCGACTTGCGAAAGGCCTTGGAGGAACGCTTCGGGATCGTGATCACATACACCAAACGTGGTGAAGGCACAGAGTCCGCGGTCTTCGGCTTGCGACACCTGCGAGCATCTGCGAGCTCAAGCTTGTTAGACTCTTGTCAGGCTTGCTGATCAAAGACGTGGGCCAGGAGTCTGCAGTCTTGCAGTGACCTGCCTGGATCTCACAGCACGGGCTTAGATTTCTTTCGTCTCGAAGCCGAGATGGACCCGGGAGCATCCCGATCGTCCTATCCGCATCGGCTGCGCCATCCTCGCCATAAATGGGTTCGCAGCTCAGGGCATGTTGCTTTCGGCTTGTTGAACTGGGCATCACATGTACTATACTAGGATAGTGATAGTGCAGCTGTGTGTTCAGAATTTGATCCCTGTTGAGACCTCAACCTCACGCCGCAACGTTGCTCCGCCTGCGCAGGGAAGATCAGATTGAGCCCATGCTGGAGCAGCTGCACATGTCCTGCAAGCTGGCTTGGGTCCCGAAGAGTTCGATTCAGGGCAGACTTGCCAGCATTTTTTTTCAGCAGGCTGTCAGCGGCTTCTCTGACTCTTGTCTTGCCTTCTGAGGATTTGCTGATCACCGCAGAACTGACTGCCAGCCAGCAGCAGACGCTGCATAGGTCACTGCAGAAGACAGCCGCGAGTTCGCAGAGGATGAGGGATTGAATCTTGCTTCCGGTTCGAAGCAAGTAGACTCAGGTACCCTCCTTCGTGGTGGAGTCGCTTCCTCGTGCTACTTGCCTGAAGTTTTAAGTCAGCGGTCTGGCCTTCAGAGAGCGGCAGAGAGATACAAAAGGTTGCAGCGGACGAAAGCGCCGAGAAGGACGTCTGTGCAATCTGCCTGCCTCTCGCCATCTTCTCCAGGGCGGCACCTGCCGCGGTGAAGTCTTTGCTGAGGCTTTGAAGAGTTGGAGGGCGACGGAGATGTGGGCTCCCTGCCGGCGCAGCTGCCTTGTGGGCACCTCTTTCACGCTCCCTGCGCCGCCTGGCAGCAACGGCGCACCGACGGGGGCGGCGCACTTTGGCCCGGTCTCCGGTCCTTTGCGAGGTGAAGACCTGGCTGGTGACAAGGAGCCGTCGCTGCCCGATGTGCAACCAGCCGCTCGGAGAGAGAGCGGCGAGAGCGAGGGAGGGAACCTGGGAAGCCGAGCCGAGGGATGTGGAGCTGAAGCTCCAGAATGCGCCGCTACCTCGCGAGGTGTCCCCAATGCACGCATGCAACTTGCTAAAGCTTGCTAAAGCTTGCTAAAGCTTGCTGCTTGCTCATGGCTCGCGGCGGCTCGCGAGGTGTTGGAAGCATCTCCGTGGTTCCAGTCATAAGTAGCGGTAGGCTTGTCTCGTCCAGCTTTGTCGCTGTTGTTTTCCTTCTCGGCCCTTACAGCCCAGCCGAGTGTTTAGCCTGAATTGAATAATTGAGGGGGATTGCACCTAGAGATCCCCCAGCAGAATTCACATGCGGACGGGATGCGACAGAGTACACCTGCCCGCAGCCCCCAGCAGCCCCCAGCAGCCNNCGCGGCCGTTCACAAGGAGCGCAGCCCCGCCTCTCAACAGAGCTTATGTGCAAAACTGCACGCGAGAAGTGTCTACGTAACCCCAAAAAGGTCCCAAAGTCTTTAGTAAAAATTTAGTGCCAAAAAAAGGCGCGCCCGCGCCGGCTTTGGCCACAGCCACTCGGGCTGTGCCAAGCGGCAAAGCGCGCGGCCGGCGCCCGGCGCCGAACCGTCTGTGAGCAAAAAGGGTTGAACCTCGGCCGCGCGCCAGCGAGAGGAGATCGGTCCGTCTCTCTGTTTATATGGGTAGAGGGGTCGCTGGTGACTTCT